CCTCCCGCCCCTTCTGCTCCAGCTCAGGGCCTCAAGGAGTCTGCACTGCCAAGGCCACATCAGGGCGCCTCATCCTCACTCCCCGCTTCCCCCTCGCTCCCGACCACGCCCTCTGCCCCTCGCTCCCCAGCACTGTCCTCTGCCCCCTCTGACGCAGGCCCCCAGCAGCAGCACACGCCCCTTCCTGCCTTCCCACCAGCAGCCCGTGAGGACAGGTGCTGTGTCCACTGCTGACACCCACTGAAGGAAAAGGGCCACCAAACAGTGCCTGTGACCTCAGCAGCCTGGACACAACCGGTGCCCAAGCCCCCGCAGACACTGGCATCCCGGCGGGTGAGGGTCACGTGGGAATCAGCACCTCGGGAGAAAGGACAGTGGCTTCGTTTTGGAGTCTCCGGGGAGGGCCCGTGGCCCAGTGCACAGCAGTGCCCCTCTGCCAGCCTCCTCCTGACTGAATTGTGCCCGGGCTTCTCAACACCCGTGACCCGGAGCACCCACTGGCATCTTCTCGGGGACCAGCCAGCACAGGAGGAAGTGCCAGCACCACACTTGGGCACGGGGACTGTCACTACCTGAGCGGTACTCATTCTCCCCAGGCCCCCAGGCGCCTCGATCACCTGAGGACAGAAGCGAGCTCACCGCTGCCGGATGGGGAAGGTCACTGGGTGGGGAAGACCGTGTGGGTCAGGGCTCTCCAGTCCAGACCAGCTGTCCCTTAGACTTGCAGGGTCAAGGGCAAATTTCTCAGAGTGCGTTTCCTCACCCAAAACACAGGGGTGACAATGACAGCCCCTCACAGAGCTGCTGGAAGGGCTGAGGTCAGAGCAGAACGTGTGTGGCGCAGGGCGTGGCCGGCGGGGCGCACGGAATAAACCGAGACACGTGGAGCCGTCGGGGCAGCCCCGGTGGAGGCGCGCAGGGCGCAGTTGGGAGCAGAGTGCGCGCCGGGGCCGGGGCCGGGCCGCCAGGGAAGTCCTCGTGAGCCAGTCGGCGCCTGTTTCCCAGGTCATCTCCCCTTGACCCCTCTCCTTCCTGCCGACGGTTCTGAAGGACCCTCTTCACTGACCGGCTCTTCAGAGACTGTGCAGCTTTCTGCGTCTGGAGGAAGCTGAAGCTGGACACCGTCTGGACTCTAAGAACAAGCAGTGACAGCCCCGATCCCGGGGCCGAGCCCCGCAGCAGGCGGCAGGAGCCTGCACTGGCGGCTGGGCTCCCCCGGGCATCCGTCCTGTCTCCCCACGGTCCCCTCCCCCTGGCTAACAGGGGGCCCAGGCTGGGCTCCCCCGGGCATCCGTCCTGTCTCCCCACGCTCCCCTCACCCTAACAGGAGGCCCAGGCTGGGCTCCCCCGGGCATCCGTCTNCCGAGCCCCGCAGCAGGCGGCAGGAGCCTGCACTGGCGGCTGGGCTCCCCCGGGCATCCGTCCTGTCTCCCCACGCTCCCCTCCCCCTGGCTAACAGGGGGCCCAGGCTGGGCTCCCCCGGCTCCGAGGGCACCTGTCCTGCCCATGACCTGAACGTACAAGTCAATATAACGGGAGACTCCACACAACGTGGCTCCTCCCTCAACACGCTCTGTCACCTGGGTGCTGACAGACACCTCTGCTCTGATGACATTGAGGAGCTGCCTCACCAGCACCCACCACGGAGGCCACCGCCCGGGTCCTCAGTGTGCCGGGACGGGGGCAAACACCACACGTGGGGCTTTCTGAAGGATTTTTAAAGACAGGCAGCACTTACTGATCCTCAGAGTGGTGTCAACTCGGGCTCACTGAGCAGACAGGTCATCTGAACTTACCAGGAATGAAAGCTCAGCGTCTAGGTTGGTTTCCTGTGGCCGGAGGGGACACGCGTTTGAGGCAACGTGCAGCGTGTCCTGACTCCCGAGGCCGTCAGCTCGCTGTGCTGACCCGCAGGCGGCCGAGAGGCCGGGGTGCCGCTCCAGAGCCTTCCTCGGCCGTGCTGAGCGCAGCAGGCCGTCCCCGCCGAGGCACTGCGCAGGCCGTTCCGTGAGTTACCCCAGGGCCCCCGCACCATACGGGACACCAGGCAAGCTTGAATCTCAAACACCACTCCGTGTTTTGCTATTAGTGTGCTTCATGCGATATTTGGAGTATACTTACAGGAAAAAAGGATTTGCTCTTTATGTGAAATTCAAATTGAACTGGCATCTTGCACTTTATTTGCTAAAGATGGTAACTAATTACATCCATTTCAAGCAAGACTAGTCGGAGGGGTTTTTTTGTTTTTTAATATGTCTTTATTGATTTCAGAGAGAGGAAGGGAGAGGAAGAGATGGAAAGATCAATGATGAGAGTTATTGATCGGCTGCCTCCTGCACGCCCCCTGCTGGGGATCGAGCCTGCAACCCGGGCCTGTGCCCTGACCGGAATCGAACCCCGATAGCCTGGATCTTAGGTCGACGCTCAACCTCTGAGCCACGCCGGCCGGGCAAGACTAGTTGGTTTTTAGTCGCAAAAACATAACAACATCCCAAACCAACCCCTCCCCTGCCAAAACAATAATCCTCTAAACAAGATTTGTCTTTTTATTTCTAGGTCATGTTTTTAGAACATAGATCTAAAAGTTTCAAAGTAAAAAACTGTTTTGAGACGGTCATCGTACAAACCCGCCTGAACCGAGAGCTCAGCAAGCCCCTGGCCCAGGCGCTGGTGCCAGCGCGCCCTCCGGGCACCCGCAACTCAGAAGCAGCTGGCTGCTGCCTGGCCGGGTAGCGTGCACAAGGCAGGAGGAGCAGAGCTAACGGGCCACTCCTCAGAGGCCTGCCGGGCGGACGGCCAGGAGGAGGCAGGCACTCCCGGGCCAGAGCGCACAGCACACGGCCCTCTACAGAGAACAGCGCCCACCACAAGGACAGCTGTGAGGTGAGGAAAAGGCACTGCCCTGGCCAGGGGGCTCCGTCAGCTGAAGCGTCCATACACTGAAAGCGTTCGATCCCCAGTCGGGAGCATACGGGAGGCAACCAACTGATGTTTCTCTCTCCCCCACCACTCCTTCTTCACTCTCTTAATTAAAAACGAAATAAAAAAACACATATCCTCAAGTGAGGATTATAAAAAGAAACAGTTGCTGATTTCACAGAATGCCCAGTTGTCAAGGAACAGACACACCTGCGCCCCACCTCCCCCTTCTCCCAGCTCTGACCTTGGGCTGGCACCCAGGTAACCCACCCCTGCGCTGCTGGCATTCTGGGGGACTGGAGCTGGGAGGCTGGGGTAGTGCTCTGTGCTGCGGCAGGTGAAGACCAAACACCTCCCCAAGTTTTTAAAAATCATGTTTGTTACTCGGATCAAGTTACTCGTACAATGCAGCATGGTTTTAGTCTGAATGGCACTTTATTTTGCATGGTTATACAGAGTGAATGACTAGCACACAATCCAAAAGTTTTGTAAGTTTTGTTGTTCAAAATGGTGTTAGTGTTGTAGGGCAGAAAGAGCTCACTGACCAAAAAAACATATTTACTTTAACAAAATCAAGTAGGATGCGCTGGCACCACACAGATGCCCAAGGGCTCCTAGCAAGCCACCTCACAGCAGAGGGGTAAGAGCTAAAAATGCCCAGAAAACCAAGTGGCACCCAAATCACACTTTTATATAAAGGTCAAGACTTAAATTATTAATCAATGATACTCAAAAGTGAGGGAACTGAGTATAAGGCTCAGTTCTGGAGACGCTTCTCATTTCCTCTTCTTGGAGGAATACAGCTTTTCTTCGAGTGGGACCGGGACCATCCCTTCACACTCCTTCACTTCCTGCGTCAGAGGGTGCTTTACAATATTAGGTCTAATTACATCAATGTCTCGAGACAAGTGCTCCATCATGCTTTCGACAGTTGTTGTTGGTGCATAAAAATCCACCAAGAAATACCTGCAATAAAATATAAATTTGTGAATTCCTGCATTCTGAAATATGACACTTCCATAATTTTGGTCAATGCTTTCATTTGACTCCCCAGATGAAGACATCACCTGTACACAAATACATACTCCCAGCTGACCAGCTAAACAAGAGTGTGGGGGCATGCCCAACCTACCTTCCCCACGTCCTTTCCCATTACCCGGTGTGAAAATCTGAATCCAAACAAACTTTAGGGTAGCAAAAAAGCCTTGTGACATTACATACAGCGGGAAATACTAGAGAGTATGGTTAAATTATGAGTGCAAAACCAGAACCTGCTGTTCAACAATATTGAACTTTTCAACAAACCATTAGTTGATGTTTTTGTCAAAACATCTATTAGGCTGTCTTCTAATTTTCCAAATGATTTTACAAGTTACTAAATGCACCTAAGAGACAAAGTAAGACCATCAGCTATACTTCACAAATAAGGGAAAAGATTAAGAAAGGCCTGGGACTTGTCTAAGACTATCTTGGACATTCAAAAACTGACAAAGAATAAAAAGAAAATTACTTGAAAAATTACTTCACTAACCTGGGGAGGGAAACAAATATCCAGATGCAGGAAGCCCAGAGAATTCCAAATAAGAACCACTCATGAAGACCCCACACCAAGACATATTATAATTAAAATGTCAAAAGTTAAAGGCAAGGAGAGAATATTAAAAGCAGCAAGAGAAAAACAACTTGTTACATACAAAGGAACTCCCATAAGACTATCAGCAGGTTTTTCAGTAGAAATTTTGCAGGCCAGAAGGGAGGGAGTGGCACAATACAGGCCAAGAGCTGAAAGAAAAACTTCCAACCAAGAATACTCTGCTGCAGCCCTGGCCGGGGTGGCCCCGTTGGTTTGGAGCGTCATCCCAGGCACCAAAAGGCTGCCAGTTCCATTCCCGGTCAGGGCACACACCTAGGCTGCAGGTTCAATCCCCGGTGGGAGTGTGTACAGGAGGCAACAGATTAATGTTTCTCTCATACACCAATGTGCTTCTCTCTCTCTCTCTCTCTGTCCCTTCCCCTCTCCCTCTCTTAAAAAAATATTAGTGAAACACATGCACAGATGGGGATTAAAAAAAGAAAAAGAACGTGCCATGGCAAAGTTATCACTCGGAGTCTTGAAGGAGAGAGAGAACTTTCCAGATAAGCAAAAGCTAAAGGAGTTCATCACCACTACACCAGCCTTACAAGAAAAGGACTTCTTTAGGCTGAAAAGTAAGGGCACAAATTAGCAACAAGAAAACATATTAAATAAATCTCACTGGGAAGGTGGATATATAATAAAGGAAGTGGATTCATCATTCATAATGCTAGTAAGAAGGTTAAAAACAAAAAGAGTAAAAATAACTATGATTATGATAATTAAGGGATATACAAGATAAAAGATATAAAAGGTGACATGTGGGGGTGGTATGTAAAAATGTTAAGCTATAGAATGGGATCAAACTTAAGTAGTTATCAACTAAAATAGACTGTTATAAGTTGCCATATGTAGGCCTCATTGTAACCACAGAGCAAAAACCTATAGTAAATACATGAAGAGAAAGAGAATGGAATATAGTAAGTATACCACTAAACAGAGTCATCAAACTACAAAGGAAGAGAGCAAGAGAAGGAATAGAAACTACAAAAACAGCCAGTAAACATGTAACAAAATGGCAACAAGGACATACCTATCAATAATTACTTTAAATGTAAATGGACTAAATTCTTCAGTCAAAACACAGAGTGGCTGAGGGGATTAAAAAAGCACACCCATTTATATGCTGCCTACAAGAAACTCACTTTAGCTGTAGGGACATGCACAGACTGAAAGTGATGGATGGAAAAAGGTATTCCATGCAAATGAAAACAAACAAACAAAAAGCTAGGCTGGTTCTACTTAGACAAAATAGACTTTAAAATGAAGAGCAATAAGAGACAAAGAAAAAGATTACATAATAAAGGAGTTAATCCACAAGAGGCTGTAACATTGGTAAACATTTATGCACCCAACATAGCAGCACCTAAATATATAAAGCAAATACTCAAAGACCTAAAGGTAGAGATAGACAGCAATACAGTAATAGTAAGGGATTTTCATATCCCACTTACATCGATGTACTGAACATCCAGACCTCCCCAAAATAATCAGTAAGAAAACATCTGCTTTAAACAACACATTATATCACACGGACTTAACAGATATATAAGGGATATTCTATCCAAAAGCAACAAAATACACATTCTTCTCAAGTGCACATGGAGTATTTTCTAAGTTTAAAAAGCTTAAAATAATGCCAAGCATCCTTTCTTGACTACAATGGTATGAAAGTAGAAATTAATTACACAAAGAAATCTGGTCAATTCACAAATATGTGGAGATTAAACAACATGCTATTAAACAACTGAATAACCAACGGGTCAAAGAAGAAATTAAAACAAAAATGGAAATACAGGTTTTCCTTGCTATCCAAAAGTAGACCATGCCTATCAACCTTTTGTAAGCCAAAATGGAGTCAAGAGAAGACGCAATTATTAATTTATATGGAAATTTTTTAGCATTCCCACAACCAAAATTTAATGTACAATGTTTTTATTTCATTCATCACAATCAAAACTCTTAATTAAATACTGTTTTATGCTAAATGTTAATACCCTTAGGCCTTTCTGAGAACTAGGGAACATCTTGCTAGCTGATATGCAAAATAAATCAAAATAAAGCACAGAGGATCACAGTTCACAGCTTGGCAGTGCCACCCTCACTGCTTCAGAGTGCGCAGGCCTCTGTAATGGTTTGCTGCAAAACAAATGCTAAATTCTGTTTTAGCTTTTTGCCTTTTTCATAAAAGTGAAAATCCTTTTCAGATTTCTTTCAGTTATCAAAAACGGGCACTGATGTAGGTCTTCTGTAAACGCAAAGTTACGTAACAAACGTTCAAAACATGGGGATGCCTGTGTAAAATACCAGAATTTGTGGGATGTAGCAAAAGCAGTTCTAAAAGGGAAGTTCATAGCAAATAAATGCCTACCTCAAAAAACAAGTGTCAAACAACCTAACTTTATAACCAAGGAACTACAAAAAGAACAAATGAAGCCCAAAGTTAGAAGGAAGGAAATGACAAAGATTAGAGCAGAAATAAATGAAATAGAGACTAAAAGGACAGCAGGAAAGACCAATGAGAGAGCTGGTTCACTAAAGATAAAATTGACAAGCCTTCAGCTAGACTTACCAGGAAAAAAAGGGGGTTCAAATAAATCAGAAATGAAGAGATTTACAACGGATACCACAGAAATACAAAGGATCATAAGAGACTATTAAGAAGAATTATAAGTCAACAAACTGGACAACCTAGAAGAAACAGATAAATTCCTACAAATATACAACCTACCAAGACCAAATCACGATGAAACTGAAAATCTAAACAGACCCAATGAGAAGAGGGCTGAATCAGTCATCACATCCTCCCAACAAGGTCCAGGACCAGACGCTCTGACTGGCGAATTCTAACCAATTCGAAGGAGAATTAATACCGGTCCCTCCCAAACTCTCCTTAAAAAAGAAAGAAGAGAACTCTTTCAAACCCATTTTATGAGGCCAGCTCACCTTGATACCAAAACGAGACAAGGAAGCGTCATGAAAAAAAAATTACGGGTCAATATCCCTCATGAACACAGATGCAAAAATCAACAAAATATCAGCAAATCGAATTCAGCAATACATTATAAGGCTCATACACCACGATCACGTGTGATTTATTTCAGGGACACGAAGGTGGGTCAACATCCCGAATCAGTCAGTGCGACACAGCACATCTTAATAAATACAGGAAAGGCACTTGATAAAATTCAACGTTCATTTACAATAAAACTCTCAACCAAGGTATAGAGGGAGCAAACCTCAGCGTGACAAAAGCCACATACGACAAGGCCACACCTGGTATCGGAAACGAAGGGGAGCAAGGATGGGAAGCTAAAAGGCGTTTCCTCTACGAAGAGGAACGAACGAGACAAGCCCGCTCTCCCGCTTCATTCAGCGTACGTTAGAAGTCGAACCCAGAGCAATCAGGCAAGAAAGCAGCTAAAAGGGATCCGCCAACTGGAAAGGAAGAAGTAAAACTGTCAGTATTTGCAGATGACATATTAATATAAAAAACCCTAAAGATTCTATCAAAAAACTGTCAGAACTAATACACAAATTCAGTCACGTTGCAGAATATAAAAATCAATACACAGAAATTGGCTGCATTTCTATACACCAATACTGAACTATCATAAAGAGGAATAAAAATAAAATCCCACTTAAACTGAATCAAAAATAATACACCTAAAAATAAATTTAACCAAGGAAATAAAAGACCTGTATACTACAAACTATGAGACATTAATGAAAGAAATTGAAGACACAAATAAATGGAAAGATATCCCATGCTCACTGGAAGAATCAATGTTGTTAAAATGTCCATACTACCCATGACAATCTACAGATTCAATGCAATACCCACCAAAATTCCAATGGCATTTTTCACATAAAATAGTATAAATAATCCTAGAATTTATATAGAACCACACAAAACCCCAAATAGCCAAAGCAGTCTTGAGAAAGAAGAACAAAGCTGGAAGCATCGTGCTCCCCGATCTCAAACTGTATCACAAAGCTACAGCAATTGTAAGTGTGGTGCTGGCAAAAAAGCAGGCACAGATCAGTGGAACAGGACAGAGCGCCCAGAAATGAACCCACACAAATACGGTCAGTTAATTTACCACCAGGGAGCCAAGAACATGGCGGTGGAGAAAGGACAGTCTCGCTGCAGATGGTGCTGGGGAAACAGGACGGCCACACGCGGAATAAAAGTCAACCCCCATCTTACTCCACACGTGAGCATTACCTCCGCATGGACGGAGGTTTGAACGTACGACCTGAAACCATGAAACGCCCGAAGAAGACACAGGGAGGGAGCTCCCTGACGTCGCCTTGAGACGACTTCTGGAAT